CCTGGTAGCAGTATCGTTGGTAGTTGTAATCGTCGTCGTCGCAGTGGCAGCAGTCGCGGTCGCGGTAGCGATAACGGTCGTGGTAGTGGCAGCGTAGTGGCTCTCACAGTTCGCATACTCTTCAGCATTGCCTGCATCACCAGCAAGATCATCACCATCCGGTTCCTCAACTTTCTGATTCTACATTCTATTGAAGTGCACCCTTGTGAGCGACGACAGGCAAACGCATCAAACCGGGAGTAAATCCCTTCGTGCGTTTGCATTATGGTCCATTCCCGCCCACTTCGCAGGCAGGATGCGGAGCCGGCGGATCAGCATGCCGGAGAAAAGTCAGGACTGGAGTTGGCACATGGGCCTTATCGTCACAGGTTCGGCTCACTTCTGAGCGATCCAGCTGTCCGGGAACGGTGACGTTCGCGACTCGATGCAGCAGCAGCGACAGCACGACAGCAACAACAACAACAACAACAACAACAACAACAACAACAACAACAACAACAACAACAACAACAACAACAACAACAACAATAACAACAAGGTCAACAAAAAAACAACAAACAACAAACACAATGACAACAACAACAACAACAACAACAACAACAATAAGAAAAGGCAAGAGCGGTAGCAAGAGCAAGGGTAACATTATCATTTATAATGATTCACAACATCATCCTTACCGTCGTCGTAATCATCCTCATCATTTTCTTCTTCATCATTCGCAGCAGGTTCCTCTTTCTCATCACACTTCTTATCACTTGCAGCAGCACAACAGATGTAGCAACAGGGCCGCAAGCTCAGCGCGTTCAGTTCACTCCCTCCCTCCAGGAGACTGCCAGCAGCCTGCGCCTCTGGACAAAGCGACCTTGAGGCCTTTTTCGGATTGACGCGGGCCTCTGAAACCTGTAGCTCTCAGGTTCGAAACCGAATTCCAAACAAAAACCCTCGAATCTTGAGTTCATATACCCACGATGCCTACGTTCGAAGCTGTACTCTGCAGGATATCATCACTCCTCAAACTTCAATTGCAGAATCCTGTGACTAAACGTGCGGGTTTCCAAATCTTCAACTGTACTTGCTGGAAGGTCGGGCGTTTGGGCCAGCTTGGCGTGCCTTCGAAATCATTTCTTGACGGGAGCAGCTGGAGCCCCGCATCAAAAGGGAGGCCGAACCTTGGGATGATGATAATCACAGTTACACATGCAAACTTTTATGTACACCGGCTGAGCATGCATGTAAACACGCGCCAAAACTCACGCATACCAGAGAAGCTGCGAAGCATCCCCATGCAGGTGATGTGGTGCCGTGGCGGGAGTTGGGCAACGGCCTCCTCATCCCATGCAGCAGCCGGCGGAGCGGCTTTGGGCCCTGCCAGCGTCTCACATGCCCGACATACTTTGGGGAGGCTGTCGGTAGCGAGTTGCAGCATGACGTTCTCGTGGCAATTATGGGCTTCATCCACGGCATAGAGGCGGAAGCTCATGACATCGGAGTCTGCTCGGATCCGCCGCCTCCGTGGCTGCGGGACGAGAAGGAGAAGGAGAAGGGTAGCGAGAGCAAGGATGCTCTCACGACAGATCGGCTGAACTGGGAGGCCTTCCTGGATGATCTGGGCCTCAAACCGCTGTCGCCCTGCACCTCACACCGAAAGGTGGCAGGCACGATCCTTACAATCGACCTCGGCTGGCGTTTGTCGAGCTCCGATTGGTGGAAAGCAGCCGCTGCATCCAAGGCGGCTCTGGCATATTTGGAGCCTCGGACGGCTTGTTCTCGTGCGTGCTCCGTAAATTATGTTGCAGAGTTCATGGTGAAGAGCTTTCGTATTAGCACGTGCGACTGTGTCTGTCTGCATATCCCTGTTTCCGTGTCACTATGCATGCATGCGCTCGCCGACGCGAGGCTTCTTTGGTTTCGTGAGTGACGGGCTCCAGAAATTCAGAAGCATGTTTTATCCACCCAGGAGCGTCGGCTGAAGGAGGCAGACCGAGTGGAGATCACTTGGTTGAAGCAGCTTCGAACACCGGAGCGCGTCGACGTTGCCGAGCTCTTCCTCCGCAGCGCGTATGTTCGCTACGGCGGCCACTTCTTGCCTTACATGGAGCCTTCGGCTGTTTGAGGGTGGGTCAATGCTGCTGAAGCCTTGAGTCACATAGGTTCGATCTTGAAGCACGAGAGAGAGCGGCGGATGTGGAAGATTATTTGTGAGCAAGTTGCTTTTGAATCACAGAGGACTTGCCCCAGACCGATGCGCCTGTGGCATCGTTGGCTTGCCTGAGGCGCCGTCGACTCCCGAACCGACATCAGTAGTATCCCTGTCTTCCTGAGCATATCGGCATGCACATGTGAAATCACAATGTAATAACATGTGGCTGTCAGTGTGTTTGCGGCTGTCGTTGGGTCTATGTAAAATTACATGCTAAGTGCTTTTGCCACGTTAACCCATTTCAGCCTAACTGTTTACCATTAGACAGACAAGCAGGCAGGCAGGCAGGCAGCCAGGCAGACAGACAGACAGAACATACATAGATACAGAGGTACACTAGTACTCTATATATATATATATATATATATACACATATACATATATGTATATATATATATATATATACATATACATATACATATATATATATATATATATATATATTAGTTTTTATATACAAACCTACACCCCACACACACACCCACCCACCCACCCACCCACCCACGCACCCACCCACGCACCCACCCACGCACCCACCCACGCACCCACCCACGCACCCACGCCCGCACGCCCGCACGCCCGCCGCCCGCCCGCACGCCCGCCCGCACGCCCGCCCGCACGCATGCATGCATGGATGGACGGACGGACGGGAGGCAGAGAGGGATGGATGGATAGATGGATGGATGGATGGATGCATGGATGCATCGATGCATGGATGCATGGATGCATGGATGGATGGATGGATGGACGGATGGATGGACGGATGCCGGTTTGCATCTCTGTCTTTCTGGGTCCTGTCTGTCTGTCCGTCCGTCCGTCTGTCTGTCTCTCGGTCTGTCGGTTTGTCTGTCCTGTCGGTCTGTCCGTCTGTCTGCCTGTTTGCCTGCCTGTCTGTCTGCATGCACGTAAATATGCACGCACCATTCTCATGCTTGGACTTTCGCTCCAGCACCTTTGAACGCAAAGGCCCGGCTGGGTTCGAGAGCTAGGATAACCCAGATGCCTCACCCCTGACACGGCAGCACGATTCAAACTCGTATTGCGACAAAAGCTGCGCTTGAGGCGGCTGGGTGTGGCTACGGACCTCACCGGCAGTGGCTTGCGGAAATGCCTTCAGGCCTTGATTTCAGCTCCATATTGCAGTAGTGTCCGTCAACTCAAGGGCAAGCCTTGCGGTGTTTCCTGTTGTGTGTGTGTGTGTGTGTGTGTGTGTGTGTGTGCGTGTGTTTGTCTCTCTGTCTGTGTCTGTCTCTGTCTGTTTGTCTGTCTTTGTCTGTGTGTGTGTGTGTGTGTGTGGCTCTTTGGGTTCGGAGGGGAGTGAAGGGTCCGAGAGGTGTTTACCTGCCATTACTGTCAGCGACGGTGAAGTGGGTCCGCACATGGAGCGGCAGGCAGTAGCTTCACGACCGCCGCTGATCTCTGCGTGAAGCTATACCTACTACTATGGCTCGCTGTAGTAATGGATCTTATTCTTCAGTCTCGGTCTCGACTGTAGCCACAATGGCTTGATCAAAGCAACCGTGCAGCCTGTATCCACGAACCCAGTCTCTTTAGCCCGATAGTGGCGCCTTCTCCCCTGGAAAGGTCTTGGAGGGCAGGACATGTCAAGACCTCAGCGTTTTCGCAGACATCTATGCCGCCTTGGCATCGCTTCCCAAGGATGAGCCTTGGAAAAGAATTGAACACATGCTCATGTCGACCCAGAAACCACCCAGATCCAGCTCGTACTAGCACAGGACCCCTGATTCGATCTTGGACAGGAGTGGATGTCAACCCCTCTTTCCTTGTAATTGTCTAATCACATATCGGGTTTCTATGGACTGCTTATGTATATCAAGGAATCAAGGGGGTGAAACGCGGATCTCACGACTCCAACATGGGTAACCGGCCGTCTCCGACTGTAACCGATTAAGGAACAGGCCTCCACGGGCAGCTGGGGCTCTCAGGAGGCATCCGGGGACGCGCGCGTCTTCGTGCCGCCAGCCACCTTCCGCAAAGCGGCCGAGTGTGCGCCTGTGTTCTGCAGTGGCAGCTTTTGTGTTTGTTCTTGCACAGGCTGCGCCTGTGTTCTTGGGAGTCCTGACCACCAGAAGCCTTCTCGTCTTGATTCTTTCTGCAGTTGGGAGTTGTAGAGGTCTGGACTGACCACGGGAAATCCACCCTGCGATGGCTTTGTGGCTACGTCGCGCTTCAGCCTGACTATGGGCGCTTCGGCAATCTCTGCAGATCCTGGCTGGTGGGACCCCATGTGGCCATAAAGCACGATCTCGAGGCGCTTGAGGCGAGGCCTGTTCCATTGTCCATCGATCTTGCTGAACTGCCAGAGGAGCCTCAACTGGGAAAAGCCGGCGCGCATGTCCGGATCTCGCAGACCTCAGCTGTTCAAATCACATGGATCGAGTCCCCACGAGGGTTTCAAACTGAGTGTAAGACTTCAGTACATACTTCAGTAACAGGTCCGCGATTTCTTTACGAATGTAGTGACGGTTACAGGAGAAGTAAGCAGTGTAAGTGTACAATGCAGCTAGTCCTTCTGTATCTATGCCACATGCGAGTCACCCGAAGCCTCTCTTCCAGCAGTATACACAGTACCCCTCCCAACCTTCTCGTCGGTACCTTGAGACAATGTAGAAATGTAGATGTTGAGCACGTCCGAAATCCATGATCTTGAATCGACAGATAAAAGCCCAACTCAGGTTGCCGAAGCCTCGTAAGCCCGAAGCCCGACCCTAAGACACACTGAACTTACTGCCCTAAACACCCTGGGGGAGCTCCCGCATATTCTTATCTGCTGGGAGCCATGGCGCTGGGCTCACTCACAGCTGCTCAGTTCGATGAAGTCGTGGTGAGGCTTCATGCGGCCGCAGAGAGCACCTTCGCTGTACGACTAAAGGGATTTAGGATCCACAGATCCGCAGCTGTCCTGCTGTGCCGCTGTGACCCCTGGAATGTTGCACCGTGAATCTTAACTGACCCAGTAACTTGGTACGTGATGGTTGGCGACAGCCAGCGTGCGTGTAAGGAGCCCCCGATTCCTTAAACGTGCAAACAACGAACTTTGGCAAAGCATTTCGGAAATGCAACATCCGAAGCGGTCAGCAAAGCAACATAAACAAACACATGCAAACCCTCCCTCAAAAAGCAAGCGGCAGCTCAGCGTCCTACGCCGTGCCGCCAGCACAGAACCCCGTTTTTAGTATATACTCTCTTTGTAGTGGCAACTACCCATTGCAATCTAGCACACTGCTGGACAAAATAACTGTCCTTGGATTGTTCTCGCATGTTGTGTGCACGTTGTTTCTGTGATTGCTCCTGTGCTGGTTTCGGGGTGCAGCTTAGCATGTCTTTCTGTTTTGGAAAATTCCTAGGGCATTTTTGGTATGCTTCCTTGCGTGTTAGCCATGTATTGTGACACAACTTCGGGCGAGGCCTCATCCGGTCCAGCGGGCACGTGCAGAGCACCAAAGTGTCTCGACAAGAATCTGCAGCCCAAGCTCCTTCCAAGTAACATCGAAACTATCACAAACTGCTATAAACCCTCGTCCGGAACTACTAGAACCCCTGAAGCCTGAAATTCTAAGCCTCTGAAACTGCGGTGAATAATTATGGTTCACTGCCACGGTGTAGGACAGGCTTGCATAAGGATGTTTGGTGCGCAGCCTTCCGGGTTTCGAGTCTCAGTGTTATCAGATTTTGGATTGCTGGTTGAGGTGGTGGGCCCATGGTAAGTAAGGTTGGGACAGGCCGGCTAACCAGAGATCCTTGCAGAGCGTAGTTTCAACGCTGGCATCTACACTTAACCCCGAAAAGTAAGAGTTCTGATTAGTGAGGCTGAGATCGAGTTGCTGACGCAGGCAGGCTCGTGTGCCAAATGTCAAGGTTCACCAATGTTTTGAGGTTGAGAAGTTCGAAAGTGTTTGGGGCAGCGCCTGCTTTCGACCCAACTATGCAGTTGCGGTCCCGGTCGATATCTGCGAAGAGGACCAGGGCTCGTTGAAGTCCGGAAGGACCAGCCAGATTGAAGAAGCAAGCTGGTCCCTGGGAACCTCCACAATCCCACTAGGCCCTTCACTAGGCATTGAGTGATGCACGCCAGACCACAAGCATCAACCCAAAGACTGTAGACTGGGGTTCCGACTGCTGATGCGGGAGCTTTTATCTTCAGCGTGATCGAGCAATATACGGGCTGCAACCCATGACCCCTGCAGAACAAAACCTGGACTCCAAACCCAAGCTCAAACCTTAACTTACACGACACAGGCTCGCATCGCTAAAAAGATGCTTAACAAAGGAAGCTTGCAGCCACTCCAATCAACTAGACTAGCAAGACGCAGTATGTAGTTGCTAAAAGATCATGATTGCATGTGTGTTCCAAAGACCAGCCACCGAGCGATCGAAAGACCACGCCACCATAGCAAAAGAACCAGCGCAAAGCAGGTGGAAGTTGCCAGAAAGTTCATGATCGCAGCTCGGCTTCGCAGATGTCATTAATATGCTTGAAGCTAGACCTTGTGGCATCACTGTACATGCCGACGTACCCTACATCAAGCCACTGGAGCCTTGCTACCGTCTCGCATGAAACAAGATTCCTGTTATGATCATGAAGCAGGGTGTGGTTTCCAACGTTCTCCTACGGCGTCCGGTTCAGGCAAGCCTTCACGAGCCGGACGACAGAAAGGCCTTGCATGAAGTCTTCGGGGGAGACCTGGCAAGAGTTTGCCGCGTTCGAGACACTCGGCTCAAAAGAATGCGGTTTTGGAGAGAATTTCTCAGTCGACAACCCCTTCTCCCTAGATTGCTTGGTGCTGCGCAAGACGCTCTCAGAGGCACAGCACAACCCTGTAATTACTAGTTATGGGAACCACGTTGCAGTCGTGCTGCCTTGGATTCCTTTCCGTTTTCCTGCCTTTGCGGAGAAACCTTCAATTCGGGAAGGGGCCTGATGCAGCTCACTCTACGACTCCAGTCATGCCGAACTCACACGCTGCAATCCATGCCCAATTCGGAACCTCCCAGTCAAAGGTGGCTTTGGAGCAGCTCGACTCGGTGGTGAGCCCAAGCGCTGGCCAGCGGCTGTCCCAGTGCCACTGGATTGCAGTCTGCTGTCCCCGGCCGTGGGTGGGTAACGGTTGCTCGCGAGGTTCACCCAATGAGCCCTTACATCCCTTCACTGCCAAATCCCGGAAACGATGCAAGCCCCCGGAGCCCAACCAAAACCCGAAACCACCAAGACCCAACAAATCATTAACCTTCAAAGCCCCACAAGAGAAAGGTCTGATGGCCTGCCGGTCCATCGAAGATGTGTTAGCCGACCTTGGCTGCTTGGAATACAGTAGCTACAGTGGAACCGGGTGTACGACTGCTGATCTATAGGCTTGTGCAAGGCTGTAGGTTGTTTCTGGCTTGGTAGGGTCAAGGTTATTAGTCGTTTCGGTTTTTGGGCTTCGGGGCTGCTCGAGCCTAGGGTGTATAGTCACCAATGGCAAGATGTCTTCTCCCAGTAACTCTGGCAATCTCACTATTTCGCTCTCGTGAGGTACGGGGTTCAGCCCGGCAATGTCCTTCAGAAACCGCTCGGAGACCCAAAGTCCAGCAATGACCAGCTCTATACCCGTCCAGCCCTCTTCTTGAAGCCACCCTCCTTTCATATATATATATATATATATATATATATATATATTTGTTGTTATTATTGTTATTATTAGTAGTGTAGTACGATTATATATATATATATATATATATAAAGCATCCAAAACTTACCCTTGTTTCCTCGAAGGCTTGTCCAGGGCCCTGCTGGAAGCCGAGGAAGAGCAGCGCCAGGTGCGAGGGCGCGGTTTTGCCCTAAAAAAGCACGTAAGCGGTGGCTGCCCTACTATTGAGGGCACTATATTAGGGTCCCGTTTTTCGGAAACTCCGGAACTTTTCAGGCCTTACTTTCCGTCTAGTCTCGTGGACCCGACTACATCGTAGGTCCTAGCTTGTCTTTAGGATAATTGTGAATGGCCCAAAGAGAGTAGAGCGCTCGAAATCCGGTGCTCCGTCAGAATACCCCGGATCCCATACCAGCAGCATTCCCACTTCCAACCTTAGATCGCTGAGCAGAATTCGCAACATCTTCACAGTCTCAGAGTCATAGCTTGAGAGCACTGGGGGAAGCTGCAGAGCTGTAACTACAAGAGGCCAAAGCGATACCCACACCAGGCTTTGGCTGAGCGTCACGCCAAGCTCGGCGAGCCCGGCAGCAGCCGGGGCTCTTTGTCAAGAGTCGGTGGGCAAGCGTTCAAGCTTTGCAGTACCGATGATGACTGGTAGCTCAAGACACCGTAAGATATAACCATGACAGTCATGACGACCAGAGCGGCAATCAGCAGAATGCTGACGATGGCGATGACAATGCGACGACGATGATAACTTTTCTATCTACTTTGATGCACAGGAAGAGATGAGGAGGGGTTGAAGGATGAGGAGGATGAGCAGGCGGAATGAGTGGTTTCCCGTAAGTTGCGCAGAGCATCGTCACCAGCATCAACAATGTCGCAGTCTTCGTCCTCATGAGCAGCTTCATCAGCATCAGACGCTCTCATCTTATTCTCAGAGACGTGAGGAACAGGGCGACAAGTGGAAGAGGCGATGCCATGCTGGAGCCTTGTGTCCCTAGGTTGCGCTAGCCCGGATGATCCGGACACAGCAAGCCCGGCTACTCGGCCAGTGAGACCTCAGGTTGTCGGTGCGTGGTCACGACAGGGTGGGGTTGCAACAGGTTTTGAGAAAGGGTTTGCGCTTTCAGGAACACGTAAACCTGATTGTAGCCCCGCATCAACAAGCGACATTTTGCTACTGCAGGTGGCAATGTCGAATCCACAAATTCATGCCATTGCCAACGACTTCTTCATCTGTGCCGGTGAAATTCGGGACGCTACCGACTCGGATGAGCAAGATGAGGCGCAGGCATCGGCTGCTGTGTTGCGAGACTGAAACAGCTCTGCCCTCCCCACCAGAGACACATCCACCACGTGGTCCCCAAAAGGCAATGCAGTGACTCAGTACAGTCTCAGTCAACAATCTTGAGCTTCGCGGTTCTCGAACTTTCGCACTGAGCCTTAATGTGCCAGCAGTTGTAGTGCTACCAGTACTGCGACTAACTCTTGCACATGGCGGCTTCGGGAGGCTAGAGGAAGCTGCAAAGCCGGGTAGCCGCAGATGACTCCCGTCAACCGCAGATAAGACATTCTAGAAGCCGCAAAGCTTTCCACTGCACCGCAAAAGACAGTCGAAACTATACAAGCACCAAGTCATTGTCGCGTCGCCCTCAGTTGCAGAGCTTCACCAAGCGTCTGTCCGAACTGGCTTCCGACATTGTCACTGGTGCAGGCCAGGTCGTGCATTGGGACTAAGCCGCTAATGCTTGCATTTTAGCTCATGGGATGTGGGACGCTTAGACTTTGTCTCACTCGACTCTGGATGTGTGAACTTTTTGCAAGAAGGGACTCCTGCTGGCCCCCTTATCTCTAAGTTTTTTGTGATCATCCTAAGCCCTAAGCCCAACATGTCAGTGTTTATAGCGGCCCTGAACCCTCAACACCTCAAGCCCAAACTCGAAACCTTACTCGGTGCTGCAACCCAGAAATTGGGACGCAGGATGTTGGCTCGCTTTGGGGGCTTGGTTGACTTGCGATACAGGATCTCACAAAAGTAGAAGTCCTGGCCCGTCGTTGCTGCTTTCAATTTAAAATGCATTTGAATGCCACATTGTTAATGCTGATAGTTCTGGTTCGCGTAGCTATCGCGTTTGCAGTTGGCGACAAAAACCCTCGGAAGAGTTGCGACAGACCGGGCAGTTCAATCCTTTGAGGCTTCAGGGATTCCAGTGCATCAACACGACAGGTGGGGCCATGACTGATGCGCGAACTCGCGCCGTGCAGCTCCCGACATGGCTGGGTGAGGCGAGATCGAAAAGTTTGGGCATTTTAGAAACGGGTTTCATGGCAGTATGTTAGAAGTGAGCACCGAGGCAGTCAGCCATCGAGCAGTCAGTCTGCCGTAGGGGTTTGGGAGTTGAGTCAACCTGCAGACGATACAGCTGCGAATCCTGAGCTACTACCCCGCAAGCCCACACACACAGAGAGCACAAGCCTTCGATCGATCATATGCCTCTTCAGCCCGAGAAGATCGAACATGAAGCATACCATCGTGGCCTGAGCCCATGCGCAAGATCCGAACAAGCTTTCACAGGAACTCTGGCAGCAAAATTGTATAATTGCAGGGGCCGTAAGCGTCTCAGCCGCAGCCACTGCATAATCACCTGTCTTCTCAAATCCCAAGCCGCAAACCCGCAGCTAAACCCCAAGGCCAAGGCCCAAGCCCTTCCCGTCAGGTGGCAGCTGCCCTGCGCAGCTATGTCACGCGCTCCTAGGGCTGAGGCTCAGCTGAAGCTTTAGTCTTGAGACTGCCAGGGGGTGACTGTCTGCAGGGCGTTTGTGTTGTGAGTAATCTGCATAGGCTGAGGGTGTGGGGAAACTCTTGAACAGAGCCCAGTTGGAGCCTAAGTTAGCCCAATATAGGGTTTAGTTTGGGGTTTGTGTTGGACAGAAGGTTCAAAGAGTTTCGGAGAAACTCGATCCTGTGCATACATGCATAGCTCGACAAAGCACAGGGCAATGTGGGGCATCACCAGATGTGCCAGATGAGTGACATGCATGGAGATATCAGCTGCAATCGGCAAACCTCTAGAATGCTTCGGTGGCTTCGGATGCTCCCGCAGCTCTGAAGCTCAGAGTCTGGCGACTTTCCCATGTGGACTTTCACGATCATCGAACGCTTGCCATGGTTTTGGTACGGCTGTGGGTTTAGCGTATCAGTTTGATGTTCTTTGCCTTCCAATAGTCTTGCTGCTACTGATACTCCATGTTGACCAAGCTCTTCTATGAACTTAGCTACCTTAGCTGTCACCTTCCCGTACTGCCCTGACTTTCCAGAACATGGTTTCTCTTCTCGTAGATGCTTCTCGGATGGTAGGCCACGGCTGCCGCTGTTTTGGTGTCTGCTTGGGTTTAGGGATAGTATAATCGGGTTTTGCAGCTGCACTTGTTTGTCGCCAGGAGTGGGAGGAGGTGTCCGAGCAGCTGCTGGAGCTCCGAATCTGAGCGCAGTGCAGCGAGCACCTGTGAGTGCGCCGTGCGAGACGTCAGGACCTCCGCTCTTGGTCCCGCACCCTCGGCTTGAAGCCAGGGTGCAGGTCACGATGAGCACATCGAGTGTCTTGCCTCCGAGTTTTGCGGAGATGTGTTCCAGGGAGGCATACCCCTTCGGGATTCTTCTGCCAAGCCTTCACGAAGCTGTTTCTGGCCTTCGTGTTTTCCGGTGGAGTCCCCGGAAGTTTTTGCATACCTCATGCTGACCATTGCTTTACTACGGCCGGCAGCAGCCACGTTCGACGTTTAAGTCCTGGCTGTGGCCATGTTTGCAGGTGCCGAAAGCAAACCGAAGGGCCTGCCTCGAAGTCTCTTAACCAACACTCCTAAATTCGAAACCCAGGCCGCTGCAGCGCAAACGAAGTCCTTGGAACCCCGACCGGCGAAATTCTTTGCAGGCACTCTGCAGAAAATGTGTTGCAAGTCCCGGGGCCTCCACTCGATATTTGCGCAGAAAAACAAGCTCGCCTAGCTTCTCGATGTCTGAGGTTCAAGATATAATGCTCAGTCTGTTTGTCTGAGAGGTGTTGCGAGGTTTCTTTGTCAAGAGGGTCTACGTGTAGGGTTTGAGCCGCAGAACGTTGGTTTCAGAAACCAGAAGTGGAACTGCCCAAGCCCGACAGATCTTGACATGAAATCAGAAGTGAAGCCAATAAATAATGGAGCATGTAGGCCCCTGCCAGTAAAAAAACGCTTGGGAGGCCTCGCTTGTCTTGAATATCCGGCTTCGGGTTCTTGCTAAGGTTTATAAAGGATCAAGTTAGATGGCAAAGTGCAGGCATCTGCCTTTCTTGGGGCCTTGCGCAGCTTGATTCGGCAGGCTGGCCGGTGCAACCCAGAAGCTTTTCCTGACACACCAAGAAATTCCTGCAAGTCTGAATTTTCGTTGATCATGCGACTCCCAATCAAATCTAGAGGCATTGCGCGCCAAGCCCAGTGGTCGAAGTCCAATATTTCCCGTCGCTAAACCTTGCGGCTACTCTAGAAGCTGGTTCGCTTTTTGGTGGGTGAGGTACTGCCCCTACTTATAAGGAAAATTGTCTCGAGGCCAGGGTAAGTTTGCGCATGCTTGCCAAATATGTTATCACGAGGATAGTTTCTTTGGATAGCGATGTCTTCACCGTGCTGTCGCTGTAGAAGTCTTCACCATTCTATAGGGAGCTGGCTTCTTGCGCTATTGCCCAGATGCATGCTTTCCAGGCCGATGCAGCCAGTCGCATAGCACCCTCCGATCGACAGAAGCGCCTGGAAGGCAGTTTCACGGACTGTCCCCCGACGTCCTGCAGCATAGTATATTAGTCATTTTAGCTACGGAAGCATTTGATATTGGACTATACAGTACGCTGTCATGCTTATGTTGGAAGGTATCTTATTGCTTTAGCAGGTTCGACGAGTTGAGAGCTCCTCCATTATTCCAACTAGAGTCCAAGCCGTCCTGGTATGCCTATGCTCGGGTACATGGTGCAGGGTTGCAACGCCCCTTTCCGAGCTAGCACTTTGTGACACTTTGTGACAATCAGTTTTCAGGCCCCTGCATGAGCTCAAAAAGGTGTGCAGAAAGCCACACCACGGGAGGCTGATGCTGGAATTCTCGCCGCAGACAGCAGTTCCAGTATGATACGTCGTGCTGTCGCCTCCTTATGACACTTTAGCACAACAGAGCAAACCATAATATGCCATCGAAGAGCCTCAAGGAATACAAGGCGGTATGCTACCGACTGTCTCCTTGCCTCTTTATGACTTTATGCTCGTTAAAACGGTCAGCTGCGGCCCACGGCTTCGCACCAGGCTCCGATTCGCCTACCGCAGCAGCACTGCTCCATGAGCTGCAGGATGTCGCTGCCAGAGACTTAGAACATAAACACTGTCAATACCCAGCGACATAAGAGGGAATTACTCGTGTGTGTTTTGTTTCTGCAGTTTTTGTGTGCAAACCGCTTTAAACGATGCTACAGTTTGTCAATCGGCAAGCTTACTGGTTGAGAGATGCAATGGAATTTCTTCCCCTGCGATTCCATGACCCTACCAACTGCGTAGGCGAACTGATATATGCCAGGCAGTGCACGCATCGTGCAACTACGAACATCTACATCCCATGCACCTAGATATACATGTTCTACATGTGTGCAGTCATGATGGTTCGTACTTCTGCGTGTGCTAGTGTATGCATGATAGCAGGTGTTTGCTGGCCGGTGAATCGCACAGCCATGTATGTATGCATTGTGTATGTGTGTCATTTACCGGTGCCGGGCCAGGTCCAAGCATACAAGCACCTCGCAAAGTGCTGCAGGGCTGCGACTGGTGAGGCGCAGCTCACAGCATGTGTGCGGTAGTAACACAGTACTTAATGTAGACAGTTGTAGTGGGACAGGCTCCATGATTCAAGGAATCCTTGTGGTCGTGTTTTTTATCACACTTCAGATGCGCATTCTGCAGCGTTTTTTACACGTTGTCAGCTTTGCCTTTGTCCAGAATGGGATGCCAAGGCGCACGGAGACGGCTGACCTATATGCAGTATTGGTAGGTTACCTTTTGCTGGGCAGCACCTTGCCGGGAGACAGCCGCGTGAAGCGTGGCTCCTCTTCATTGGAAGCCCTTAAACCTTGCGAATCCTGCAACCCCAGACTATCCATCCGCTGTTTTCTCAACCTCCAGGATCGAAGCCGCTTGCAAGGATCCATTGCTTTGGCCTTCCAGCACGAGGCCGTGCGGGTTACTCCGGAAGAGTGCACCTGGAGACAACAAGCGAATTCGGAAGAACCCCCATCGGCGAGCAGTCCCGGAAGTTTTGCAATGTATGTACGGCCGTTCATCGGTCCAGTGTCAGTGTCTCGGAGGCATTGCTGATTCTCACGGACAAGGACGGAGCAGTTGAACCTGCTCAGTCGCACTCAGCCGGTTCGTCGCCGTCACCTGTCAAGTGATCTGATTTCAACCCGCCGACGAATGCAAGATGTACTTTGCAGCACAAGCCAGATGTCCGTGGTGTACACGGCCCGTCATGCGTGCCCAGGTGTCGGCGTGAAGCTTCTATAGTAAGAACTCAAAATGCGCTTGCAGGAATGGGACAAGCCCAAGCGGCTGAAATCGCTCGAGGACCGGGCATGGGTTCATGCCACCTAACACTTGAAGGTTTTGAAGCAGGCCTTTGAATGTGTACGGCTCGTAGGGTCCAGTTTGAACAGCATCGTGCCCCAATGCGTACTTGATGCTAAGCCGTTTGCCCAGTCGACCTTAGAAGCTGCCCCCACCCTGTAACAGTGGTATAATAGGAATATAATAGGGCCCTACTATAATCCTTATAGTCACTATTACAGGGTGGGGGGCAGCCTCTAAAGTCGACCTCTCTAATCAGACTATGACCCTATCGGGAGCCTCGTCAGGCCTTCTGGGATGTGCACGCGGATGTAGCATCTTCCAAAGCCTCGAAGCTGGCGCTCAAAAATCGCTGGATCCCTGGAGTTTCGAGACGAGGAAGGGGTAGGGAGAACTTGATGAGAGGATTGTTGGCATGCGTGCAGGAAGAGGGAACAGTCTCACATTGACATGTTTTCATTTCTCCTACGCATTCCTTCCATTCTGCCGGTGTCTGCTTAGTCGGAGTATCATGGCACTCCCGTGGACCAGGTTTGCCGGCGGAGGACTTGGACGAGTTGAAAACTTTCTTCGTGGACATCGTTGGAATACCTGTGCCCTGGTGAAACTGGAAATGGTTCTACTTCACAAGCCAAACTCCTGACACGAACGGTACAGGCATCGATGTCTTTTTCCTGGATAGGTTGTGCAACTTGTTCTGTAGAGCTCCGGCTCTGAGGAGCAATCCGTTGCCATCCCCTGCCAATAAGGGGCTTGACGGAGCAACGTTGAACAACAAGATCCTTGATTATGAGAGCCGAGATTAGGCATCTTTTCGTGTTGAGTTCTCTTATGCCCTGAAGCTTGGTCTCTCTACTTCCTGCACGTACAAGACTCTTTCGGCCCCTCATAATGAGCCCAGCCCATATAGCCTTGGTCACCTTTAAAGCTTTTGAGTCGCTGGAGTTCCGATTGAAACAGCCCCAACCCTCAAGCCTTAAGCCACCAAGACCTTTTCAGCATTCTCTACAGCCTGCAACGCAGCCTTACAGCCCCTCAAGGCCCCAAAAGAAGGAGAGCTCCTCGCAAGCCTAGGAGCGACTGTCGCAGCAAGACCTGGAAGCACGGCTCAGAGTGCCTCTGAGCC